AAAAATTGTGCTATTTATATTTAAACAAAAAGAAATAGTACGAGTAACGATATAGTACTTCTCGTCAGCTGCCTCAACTACACGCACAATGAAACCAATACCCATTTACATTTTTTTACTTATTATTTTCAAGACAGACTTGCAGAGTTTCGTAGCTTTTGAACACAAACATGGATTTCTATGAGGTGTCAATCTTTGATTGCAGTATATCTATTTGCACCCATTTATGGTTTTTTACTCTGGCAAAAATATACTGATACTTCATCTACAAAAGAATATTCTTCCATAATACGAATAGGTTTCCCACCATAAATATCATCATCTCTATTTTCTGTTGTTTACTGCCAAAAAATTCTTCGTTTGTATTGTCTATTTCTAAGAAAAGAATTCATAATTGATTTTCTGCAAAAAACTAAAAATGAAAGACATTCTATTAAAATCAAGCTCTTCACAATTTCAAAATTAATTAAAAGCCATGAATACAAAGATACTGAGAATGGTGTAAAAATATCAGAATACACCATAAACCATGACAAAATTATATAGTAGAAAATATCAAGCAGTTGCCAATCCTTTTCGGGTAAATAGAAATTCAGACTTCAAAGATATTTCGTCCTACTTCACGAGGTCAGATTAAAATATAAAACATAATAAAGCTAGGGGTGGCATATTTACTTTTTGTGTTGAATGATCTTCATGGTACTTCTGGCACATTTGAGCAGACATTTTGTTTGACGAATTTATGAGTCTTAATGTCAGCTGCAATTTTGTTCTCAAGGCCACTTATTGATCTTGCTTATGAACACATTTACTTTTAAAAATAAATACAAAACAGTTTGTTCACGTTCCATAATTCTTTTCATGAGCAATGTCGAGGAATGACTTCGGAGCAATATTATAGCTGAATGAATAAATTTTATTTTAAGAATAATGAAAAATAATCTAATAATCTTTTGTAAATTTTTTCCTGTTCTATATGATGTTGCCCACGGAATCAAAAAAATCAAAAAAAAGTGGCTTTAAAACGATAAAACGGACAAAAACATTGATGTATTTTGAATTCGTCGATTAAAATAGACATTTTCATTGAAACCATTGCATGATTTTTGATCAAACATGAAATTTACTGCATTACTTTAATTAAAATGTCACTTTTCATCATTAAATTCAAAAAAAATACATCAATTTTTTTGTCCCAGATGTGGCTGTAATTGTGTGGGTTGGCTTAGGCTCATCATTTCATCCATAGTCCACACCTACGTTCTCGCCGTTGAGTTTAAACTACTATTTTCATAATATCTATGATGGAAAACCAGTATATATAGTAGTTTTTGTGAATATGATTTGAGCTATTGAAAATCTGATTATACCATTTGATAGAGCTTGTCAGATTGTACTTGAATCGCACATAAGAGAAAGAAACAAACCACCACTCATGTGTAATATTTAAAAAAATGTACATTATACTGCGAGCTATCAAACTAAACATGTATAAAAACGAGAAAATGCAATATATTTTGAGTAAAATATATTTTCCTAAATCAAGCATACATCAACTAAGCAAAAACTTTTAATTTATTAAGCATTGAATGATAAAAAAGTGAACAACAAACCACAGAGCGTGTCAAGTATTGGTGAAGACAAAATTCGGGTTTGAACTCGGACTCGGTCGAGTTCAAAATTTTACTTTTTGTCGGGCTCACAAAAACGTGAATGCGCGGGTCCTTACATTTTATATTCCTCATCATTTCTTTAGTTTTGTTTTGTCTCATTCTGTTCATTTTATATTACTGTAATAGTCCGATTGATTTTTATTCATATTGAATTAAAAAGAAATTTAGTTTAATGTTGTCGATATCAATGTGCTTGTTTTTTATTTATAATATAACAAGTAATGATAATACTTTTTTTTTTATTACTTTACTTTGTTTTAACAACAAAAGATAAAAAATAATGCTAACATTTACATAGTGTCCATAGGTCTCAAATAATAACAAATGATTTGTTTCTGTTTTAAAATATTGCAAAATATTTTCTGACTTCAAGACTTATTTAATATAGGAAAATCTAACTGAAAAAAAAAAGAAAGAAAAACATCTTTATAGTGATTATTATTATAACAAATGAAATATGTTTCTTTTTTAAGGTTTAGTAGTCGTAGTTAGTTCTATAGTAACACCTGGTTCAACTGATGCTGATTGTGATTTAGATGAATGTATACGTACACCAGCTGAATTACCCGTTGAAGATGAAACATATGTCGGTTGAGAAAAAGATGATAACAGAGTCGATCGTTTTTCTGTACTTTTAATTTGTCGACGATGCCAATATAAAGCTCCAACAGCCAAACAAACAATACAAATAGCAGCAACTCCAATACCAATAAGAATCGAAGTGTGCAATGGAAGTGATTTCGATGGTGAAATTTCATCAAGTGAATAACATTGCCCATTTTGACAACGATCATCAACTACGAAAAAGAAAAACAAGAATTTCGATACGAATTTTGAAATGATTCGATAACTTACGTAAGCAACATACATACTCAGTATGATCTGAATTATGGCATTTTTTCCCTATTGATATATCAAAACAATAATTAAATTTTTGTTGTTTTTTGTACATTTGATTGAACTAACCTATATTGTGTGGATCATAAAAACAGTCGTCGGAACTTTGATTAACTCCAAGAATGATTGCAAAGACTAACAAGAACATAATTCTTGTAAAGTATTTCATATTAATATATTCAGTATAAATGAAACTTATAGATATCTATATTTACAAAAGAATAAAAGATAACAGAAAAATAGACATAATCTTTATTACAAAAGAAAATAAAGATTCTTCAAACACGTGAATAACTTTAAATTTTTGTCTCTAGGTATCATTGCAAAATAATACCATATTTTTTCTATTATTTTATATGTAATTGACCGCAGAGAACAAGAAAATACATCGATAGAATACGATTATTAATCTGTAAAAAATAACAGCTTGAAATTTATTTGATACTATAATGTTGTTTGTAATGCATTAGCTTGCACCTCTCTTCATTTACTTAACAAAAATTTTATGTTTTTTCTGAATTCAGTCTTATATAGTATTGGTTTTTTCAAATAAGACACATTCAATGGACTAGTCGTTTTTAGAAAAATTTTTACAATATTGTCCAATATATAAATCATTATACCATATAAAATTATTCATATCTCAACTAATGTTAGGTATCGTACGTGCATGCAACAATCATGCCGACTTTTTTTTTCTTCTTCTGACAAATAGACGCCTGCATAGTCTGTCAAATTATTCTGTATTTTATGGATAAAACAGAACTGTATATACAGACGAGCAGCACGGAATGAGGGTTTTTTTCTTCTTTCATTCTCGGATTTTTTATTATTTGACTAACAGAAGAAGCAGAAAAAAAAGCAATATATATATATTTGCAACCAACTATCTAACGTATAAATATAGGTGATTTAATGGTGCGTATATAAAGGGTAAATAGCTAAATAGTGTTATGGTACAGAATAGAATATTGATAATGATGGATAAGCAGAAAATAATTAACATGAAAACTTGTGTTATATTACTGTTGTTAATATCGTTTGTAACCAGTTTTGATAATAGATTTCAACGACGATCATCGATATTTCGACAACTTCAAGGTAATTAATTCATCTTTTTCGATTATTGAAATTAATAAGAATTTAATTTAGATTTACTAGATGATGATAAACAAGAACTTGATTTGACAAATCAAAATAGTAAGATTAATCATTGTGATATGAAAAACTAATAACAAAGACTTTAATTGTTTTTTTGAGTTAATTTTCACATAGATCATATCAATTAAAAATAAGACAAAAAAAAACTAAGACACTGAATAACTAAAATCATTCAAATCACGAGAATTTTAAGTCATTTTTGATTATGTGAGAAATTAACATGTAATAATTTTATAAGATCGGAGTTCACAAAACATTGTCTCTTGCATGTTTAATTATCAAATAAGTCATGCTGAAATTTCGGTAGGACTAATCGTAGTAAATTACACTATATCCGTAAAACTATACAAATTTCTTGCGCAATATTTATTAAAAAGTACAATAGAAAAAAAAGCATTTAAACCATAGAAATAATAAAAATATGACGATTATTCTCATATTTATATTTGATATTATCGGAATAGATATAAACTCAAAGTGTATTCAAAATTTTAACCTATACTTTGAATATTTACCTAGATCAATATGAATATGATGAAAAAAGTGATGAAATTGATTCAAGTATATTTATTAATCATACATCAAATTCATATCGTTCTTCTTTTTTTTTTTTTGTTTTTATTCTTACAGATCGTCGAATTTTTGATGATGAAGAACAATATATGGAATTACGTGCAACGATAAAATCAAATGAAACAAATTCTGGTACTTATTTCTTTCGTTCTTCTATCTATTAATTAACATTTAAAAAAAAACATAAATATTTAGGATTTGAGATAACTCTTCAAAATCGTGCTGCAATGAATACTCGTCTTCGTGTTCTTTATACTGATGCGAATGGTATTCCTGGATTAGCTGAAACTGGTCGATTATGGGCTGGTCAAACAAAATCAGTAATACTACCAGATGATGCTAAAAATATCAATATTATTATTGAAAAAGATATATTTTTTGAAAATTGGCGTGTAGCATATAAAGGTACATTAACCAATGGTAATCAATGTATACGTATTGTTGGTGTAACACTTTTTTCAAAAATTCGTTCGTGCAAATAAAACATTTTTGCAAAAACAAAACAAACTTATCATTTTACTACATTGTATTTTATATATTTGGGCTCAATATCATTACAAATAAAATTGCAATGAGAAGAAAAAAAAAATCGTAAACATTCAAATAATAGATATATATATATACACAAAGCAAAAACAAAAATAAGAAAAAAGAAAACAGACTAAACATATAGATGTATAAAAGTAGTTTTTTTTTTTATGATTCATTTTGAGAAAAGGAAGCATTTCGAATGGCAGTATGCTAAAATAAAAGATATGATATTAAAATTCAGAACAAAGAAAAAAGAAATTATATAATTACCCATATATCTAAAACATCAGTAACAGTATGTTGAGTTGGTAATTTAAATAAAAAATGAACAAAATTTCGCGAGATTGATTCAAAAAATGTATTACCATCTACAATAGACAGACAAAAAAAAAAAAAAGGAATGAAAATTATCTTATTTTAAATTTTTATATTCTTACCCGAATTTTCCAATTTAATTGGCGTTATATTCATAGTTGTAGATGTTAATGAAAGAATTTCAGGTGGTTCATTTGGATATTGAACTGTTAATTTCATTTTTAATGGCGGTACTATAGGCATATTTATTTCAGTAAGACGACATGTTAATTCATAATCATTTATAATTGAATCTTTATTTTTAAGAATTGATGATGAAGGTAATATTTTATCATGCATAGGTTTTAATTCATAAGAAAATGTATTTGTCGATAAATGAGCAAATTCACTTTCGATTATATTTCTTAATGATGTTGAAGAATGATTATTTGTGGAAGATAGATTCGGTTCGACTATTTGTTTTGATTCTGTATCCAATCGTATACTTCTAAAAGTTTTACAAATAAAAATTTATTAAATTTGATTTACAAAACAAAAAGAAATATTTAATTCACCAGGAAATCTCTTCAGATATCAAATCGCTTTTTCGACCTTCATTTAATGAGTAATAGAAAAGTCTAGAAGGATTTGATTTTCCAAATCTTTTTTCTGGAAATATCGAAATTTTACTGAATTTTTCAATAATAAAACTGTAGTTTCCTTTTAGGTCACGTGAAAGAAGCACAGCTTTTTGTTGAAAAAATCCAGTGAAATTTTGATATCTCAAGAGTGAAGGTTTGGAAAATCAAACCATTATAGACTTTTCTATTAGTAATCAAATAAAGGTCGAAAAGCAATTTGACATCTGCAGAGGTTCGCTTGTCAGATTTCACAGAGATGAAGATCAAGTAAATAAAAAATGTACGAGATTTTTGTTTATTTTATTCGTTGTTCTTTTCTATCTCATTAATATTTCCCATGTCATCTTTTTTTTTTTATAGAAACCAACAGTCAACTGCAGTTAACCGACGATTTTATTCAGTTAGTTTTAGTAATGAAAATTAATAAAACAAATAATCGGGAACTTATTCGTAATATCGAAAATTTATCAGTTACCATAAAAAGATTTCTTAGATCTCTCTTCTTTAAATATACGCATAGCTTTTGCAGTTAACATATATAAATATTCAGCAGGTAAAATACAGATCTAAAATATTTTTTCCTTGTTTGACTAAGTTATTTTTGTACCTCTTCATTCTATATTCTCTTTTCTCTTCCAACCATGTATTACAAGCTGCATCATGCATATACACCAGATACCACAAAATTCATTCCATATTTTATTTACATTCATATTCACATCGGTAAAGGTCGTAGAAGTATTCTCTCAGTTTCTATGAAAATTGCTCATCGACTCAGTTTTTTTTTTCGATTTGTTATAAGGCATTAATATAAAGTTGTAATTTGATTTTTAATGTCTTCTTATGATATGCACCAAAAAACAAAAAAAAATCTGTACTCATGCCTTGTGATTAATCGTCATAATTGATATGCAAAGAAATAAATTGAATTTTTCTTTTTACATTTGAGCCAACAACTGAATCAGTGTAAGTATCAATTTATTACAAATCAAATTATTTCGATTTCTATTCGGAATTGTGGGTTGACTGCGGTTAACCGACGATTTTTTGCCGGTTCGAAGGACATAGGTTGTTACATCATGAATATATAATGATGCGAATAATCTGGTGTACTGTTTATGATTTGAAATCTCTTTCGAATTGAAAACTAGCGAGGAGTTTATTATAAATAGCAGTTAAATCATCCTTTAGTAATTTCGTCAGAGCATCTCACGAAGAATCTATGAGTTTATCAAGGAAAGACTATTCATCAAAACAAGAATTTTTTTTGTATGTTCCGAGAAACCCATGTTTTCTACTTATGATAGTGGAGAAAATCTTTGCTGAAATCTAATTGGTTAGGAGAAAACGTTTCTCAGAGAGTTACATTTCAGCAAGAATTGTCTGTTATCCACTGAGTATTCAACAATGTATTGTCTTAACAAATCAAACCATATCACGGCTTTCTCGAAGTTGGCAAAGATGAGACCATGTTGAAATTTCCTACTAGAATCTCATTGGCCGAAGAAATAAGGTGAAACGAGGATTCCTCAACTCGAAGAATTTTCAATGAAAGTTTTTTAAAACTGCTTATTGTCGTGAAACAGGGTTTTTTTTTGGCGAGATATTATAGTCACAAATGTTTTCTTACTCGTGATCTGACTTCCTAACAGTAACTTTCGGTCCTTATCCTAGTGGCCAGAATCACGGAATTAGGTTTTTTTTTGTTTAATTACATGTATCATAAAAAAGAAAAATTCTTATAAATATTTACATACTTATGTGGTACACCATTAAGAACTTCACTTAAAGGTTCTAAAAATCGTTTTGCAATATTATATTTTAATGTTGAATCTTTATTTAAATAATCAGCTATTGTACGTTGACATTGTTCAAATATTCCATTTGTCATTAAACGAGTACCATTTGTATTTGATAGAGACATTGTTGACATATCATTCATTGGTGGCATCATTATTGGTCCAAGCATACGATCAACATGTTCTTTAAGACGACGTGCAGCCATTAAATGTTCAGGAATGAGATTTCGAATAAAAGCAGATATTTGATCATGCAATTGACGATATTTAGCTACTTTATCAGATTGACCTAAGAGAAAAAACAACAAATTAAGTTGTATTAGTACATTTCATATGAGTTTAAAATATGAAACACGATATAACTACTATTGCTAATCACTAGAAGATTGCTTCTCTGTTATTGATATAGGGTCTGCGAGTCCAAATTTCTAACACTCCGTTTTAGATCGTGTTTCATAAAAAACATGTATTTTTTCATTTGTACCTTCTTGTTGACATCGTGCAATTATTCGAGTTAAATATTGAATACGTTCAGTAAAAAATTTAAATAGAAAATGCATTTCTTCATCAATCATTGTTGGACTACCAGTATAATCTATAGAATTGTTTTAATGTTCGCATAGATATATATATATATATATATAATTTTGATTCTTTCTTACTTATCATATTCATTGGTGACATTGGTGGACGATAGACACCGCCTTGTGGTGATTGAGCCATCATATAACGTGCTAATGGACTTTGACCAGGTGGTCCTATAGGTGTTTGTTGTTGTTGTTGCATCATACCAGGATGAGAATGAGGTGATTGAATAGCATTATTACTACTAGAAGACATCATTGAATCCGACCCTCTGCAAAGTAAAAGGTTATTAATGCTAAATCAAGATTTTGACTTACGATGCTATTGTACTTGGTGGTGGTTGTTGTTGTTGTTGTTGTTGTTGTACGGCTTGATTAATTGATACTGCTTGATTACGAGCATTTCGATTCATCTATAAAATGATAATTTTATTTGAATTTGTCTTTTTATTTATTTATTTTTTACATACGGTACGTAGTCTAACTTGAGCAACAGTCGGTGGTTGTTTAGGTGGATTTGGACTAGTAAGAATATGTTGAAGAACTAAATGAATAATAATGAGAATTATTAACAAAAAAATTTTCGAAAATATTTACTTTCATCTTGACTACCAGATGATGATGATGATGATGATTGTGGTAGTACTGTAGAATTAGTTGGTTGCTGCTGTTGTTGTTGTTGTTGTTGTTGTGATAATTGAGAAGAATTAGATGAATCTTGTTGTTGATTAAGTTGATTTTGTTGACGTACTTGTTGAAGATGCTATACAATAAAACTTATATAGTTATATTTATTTTCTTCTAGAAAAAAAAACTAACCTGAGCAAGAGTACGTTGTTGAGATACATTTGCTGTAGGTTGAGAAGGTAAAACTGATGTTTGCTGCTGTTGTTGTTGTATATATTGTGGTGGCGGTGGTGGTGGAGGTGGCAATTGTTGTTGTTGTTGTGTTCGCATTTGTTGAACTTGAAGTCCAGATTGCTGTTGTTGTATCGGTGGTGCCATTAATTCTTGTTTGATTTGTTGTTGTTGTTGTTGTTGTTGTATTGAAAAATTTTGTTGCGGTGGTCTTGATTGAATATTAGATAAAGGAATTTGTGGTTCTTGTTTAATATTCATCATTGACGATTGTTGTGGTGCTGACATTGTATATGATGTTTGAGGTGGTAATTGCTGTTGTTGAGGTATTACATTCATTGGTGTTTGTTGAGATTGCATGTACATTTGTTGTTGTTGTTGACCTTGTGAATTCATTATCGATTGCTGCTGCTGCTGCTGTTGCTGTTGTTGTTGTTGTTGTTGTTGTTGTATTTGTTGATTTCTTTGTTGCCATAATGTTTGTATTATTCGTCGATAGAGTAACTAAAATAAATTTTTAAATAGACAATAAAAAAGAAACAAAAAACAAATTCATTTACTGATTTTCCTCCACTTCTATTATAAGCAACATCATCAAAACGTACAGCTAAATCACGATTACCACCAAAATGATTTGTTCTAAATAATAAAAATACATTTTATTTTAAAAATTTAAATAATAAAAATATTGATGTAATTATTTACAATCGTGTAATATAATTTTCTCGATCAGTTACAGTGATCATTTGTTGATCATCTAATTGTCCTGTTGCACCTGTACCATCAGAATTCATCATCTTTATCTAAAAGATATAATATTTCAATGTGTTCAAAGATTCTTTTTTTTTTTAATTTTATGTCTATGAGTATTGTCAAATTGTTTTAAGGGATATAAAAGAAACAAGGAGTAGCACCAAACAAAACAAAACAAAAGAAAAGGAATGGTTCGAGTACCAAAAAAAAACAAACATTTATGTTTATGTTGAATTGTTTATACGTTTTTTCCAAAACCATTTTTGATTATTATTTGTTGGTTCACATATAGACATATACATATCTTTATCGTTCTTTGATGATAATTCCATGCAAAAACCTGATGCATGTCGAAACATATCATTCTGAGAACAAAAAAAAAATTTTTTTGTTGTTTTTCTTTTGATTTTTATTTAATTATAAATTTACCTCATATGTCCACATTTGATTTCCTTGCATTGAATGACATGTAAATGAAACAATTTTTCCTGGTTTACCTAATTCTGAATGTCCACCAGGATAATCTAAACATTTTTCTTCACGACGTATTTCAAATGTTTTTGACATAAGAAAAAATTGATTGCCAGCTTGACCATGACATGGATAACCAATAATTGGTTTATCACCATCTTCAATTTCTTGAGAGTCTACACATATATTTGTTTTAGCACGACTTCGAATCTTTGTAAAAAAGAAAAAAACATTTTCTTTTTTTTTTTTTAATATAAACAAGAAAATCTACCTCGCCAAAATATAAACTTTCACCTGGTATAAACTGTTCAGGATAGACATTATCAAGATACCATTTAAATGATTTACATTGAAGACGATCACGAATTTTTAAACGATCAGATACATCACCAAAATCACCCTTAACAAAAAAAAAATAAAGAATAAATTTATATCTTTATTTTTAAAATTTAATCAATATAAACTATGACGACACAAAAAATATTCACTCATTTTTTTTTCGGGTTAAAAATGTTTTCGATTTTTTTCATTTCGATGCATCCTTTGCCATATGCTATGATTATTCTTTGTATGCTATATTCGCCTACGCGATTATTTCTCATTCCAAAGGTACCGAAAGCATAGGTCATGGACTTCTAACTGCCATTTTTCAATCACTTTAGTTGAGTTCGAAAAAAATCTATGTCGAATCGCATCGACCATTTATAATTCAGAACTAATTACTTCCGACTCTAATCAATTCAATGTTTTATTCAAAGTGAGAGTGGCGCCTCTTCCAAAGATCGGCTTGACCCTGACCGAATTTGTGGTTATTGTACTATATGTCTGTCCTCCTAAAAACATATGTTTGCCCTTTCGGAAGAGAAAATAACATACTGAACTAGTTGTTGTTAATGAGCGAATATTTTGTGTTAAGACTTTCGCGCTTATCTACTAATTAACAATTTTGATAGAATTAAGTCTCGATATATAAAATTCTTCATGTAAATAAAGATAATAGTATGAAGATGGCAAATCACTATGTAAATAGAATAATGAAATGTAAATAAAATCATCTAACAATTCATTAACATTGCAATCTTTTATTTAGTAAAGAACAAACACATTTTGATATATATTTAGTTCCTCTTTAATCTTGTCTATTGAATGTATAAGTCTGTACGAATTATCACGTACAAAATAACTAAGCTGTTTGATATTTTTATATGTCAATCTGAAGTCAGATAATTACTATTGAAAAATGAAAACATTTGTTTCGTATATCAATAACATTGTCTTAGGTATTGGGTTACTCATACGTCGTTTTTTTTTGTTTGGGTTGTAGCAAACAAATCAACTATTTTTATTTACTTATCAGATACAAACATACTTACAAGATCATTGCCAATTCTTTCATAATAATATTTCTATACAAAAATAAAAATATATTTGATTTATTATTTTTTTATTTTCGTTTTTACTTTGTAATCATCAAGCCAAACTTCAGCAAGACGAACTGTATTTTTTTTAACAACATTTACATTTTTAGGCCATTCATATGGTGAACGTTTTCGAAAAACATGACCAACATGTGAACATGGAGCACATAAAAGTTCACCACCACATTGCCAAACCTATAATGTTTGAATTTTAATTAATCATATTTTTGTTTTTTTTTTGTTTTTTTTTACTTTAAAAGAAAGTTCAAGATTTTCACCTCCCCATATATCCATGCCTGGATCATACATGCCAAGTTGATCAAACCAATCACGATCAATAGCAAATAAACCACCAGCCATTGTTGGACTCCTAAAAAAAACAATACATGAAAATTAGTTCTTTTCTTTTTGTTTTTTAGAATTTACCTAATTGGATCTGTTTTTTTCTGTCTTCGTTTCATTTCTTTTTCTGGTGTAACATGCCAATTAAAAATAAGATTCCAATCAAAACCACCAACTTGTATATTTTGTATTGGTGTACCAATTACTTGAAATGTAGAATCATCAATAATTTCAATTAATGGAACAACAGCTACTTTATTATTTCGTGCAATAGGATCCAAAAGAGGTTCAAGCCATCCTTGAATAAAAACAAAAAGATTATTCAAAACTTTCTAAGATCCAACAAAACTTCTCTAACTAGATACTCTACGATTCTAAATAAATTATGTTTTCTCTAGATATTGTCTGAAAAAAATAAAATAAAATGCCGACGGCCATTTTTTGAATAACCTTTGATAGGAACAAGATAGAGACCTGCAATATTCACCATTCGAAAGAACGATGTTCCGGCCATTGATTGGTATAGGATTCATTAAGACGAAAGATGGTTTTTTTTTATAGGCATCTGTCGATCAACAATTTTTTCCTTGTGTATTTTGGCTACTCGCCTTTTTTTCGGACAATAGATTAGATTTACAGAGGCTATGATTAGGACCACAAAAAAAAAATCAGATCATCCGTGTAAATTTTTCTTAAATCTTATGTTGAAAATTTATTTTTTTTACCTTCAGCACATTCACAATGTGAATCCAAAAAGATTAATACTTTTCCTTTTGCATCCACAGCACCTTTTAATCGAGCACGTATAAGACCTTCACGTTTACTAGTACGAAGTAATCGAACTTTTGTTAATAATTGAATATCATCTTCAAGCATTTTTTTTAAATGTTCTAATTTATAAAAAATAAAATAAAATAATAATTCGATTTATTACATATCCTTAACTTACCGATAACACACACCTTTATCAGAAAAATCATCCACAAGTATAATTTCTTTTAATAAATGAGTTGGTGAACGATCAAGAACAGAATAAACTGTACGTAATAATGTTGAACGTGCTTCATTATGAAAAATAATAATAACTGATGTATCAGGTAAATTTGGATGAAATTCAACTTTTTTACATCTAAATTATAATTTAAAATAATAAAACTAAAAAACAAAACAAAAAGCACATATGTTCTATTTTACTCGGGATCTCGAACATCAGCTAAAGTTCTTCGTAATGATATCATATCACTAACATATTGATTAAATGCATTATTTTTCCATCCATCATCATATTTTTGTCTTTCTTCTTTGGATAATTTATCTTTATCAATCCGAACCGCATTACCCATTTCACCGGGACTACCAATTTTAGGATCATTATGTTCTTTTTTCATATCTGGTGCAACAACTTGTACTTGAGCATTCATTTGACGTGCTTGTTCAAGTGCTTTAGCACGTTCTTCAGGTGGATGATCATGATCAACATTAGATTTAAATGGTAAAGCACCAATTATACGATCAACAAATGATGGTGAAACTATTTTATCAATAACATTTACTTGCATATCATTTTTTGATTGTGATAAAGAATCTGTACGTAATGAAAATATTATAATCACAATAAACCATAATGTTGGAATTAAAAACAAATATTTTAACCATCCACGTCGACGTAATCCCATTATCAGGATAAGAGAAAAAAAAATGTATTGTTTAGTCAAAAAAAAGTGTGTTACTAAAGCACCATCGGATTTGATTAGATGAGTTTTTTTTTTTCGTTATGAATGTTCTGTTCTCTTACCTAAAGCTGACAAATCCATAGAATATTATTTCATGGATTGAAGTGCATAGATGAATAGAATACGAAATAGAAATTAAATATCATATAAAATTTATAAGAAAAAGAAATACAATAATATATTGAAGTGATATTTTTAATTTAAAAAAAAATGATCCGAGTTCACTGTGCTCTTTCTAATTGGTACGCTTAATAGTATATCACACTGTAATTAATGAAGGTGAGATTTATGTCTAAAGTAAACAACAAGTATCGAATAATAGGGCTTCTATACGATGAAGAGTCCATTGAATCACTGTTTGGTTGTCAAGATTTCGAAACTTCGTTGAATACATGAAAGATTTGTAAACATGCACTTGATTTGATAGATGTCTATTGATCTATAAGCTCGTGATACTAAGAAAAATATGCATATTTTGATATACAAATCACTCTGATTGAATAAAATTTCCCTAGTAAATTCTCTTATTTTTTTTTCTATTTATTAAACTGAAGTTCGCTTTGAAGTTAACTTTTACTGAGAAAGAGCATAAAATCAGAGAAATCTACGGTATCATCGATAAAGTTATCTTTCGCGTCTCTTAGCAAATATCAAGTTGATCTAAGACAAACTTTAGATCAATGTGAATATAAAACCAATATTCAAAAACTGTTTAACTTAATTTTAATGATTCTTTTTCATTTAAATAAAAAAAAAACAATCAAAAATTATATATGTCGTAAGTTTATTTTTTCTCGAACTGCAATACATCGTCTAATTGTGATTGTAACATGAAATAAAATATTGAATGAACACGAACTAGTCGAGATACAAGAGTATTTCTGTACAAACATAAAAAATATAGAAAACGGTGTTCAACTAACGTAGGATATCTTGGGCCTGGATTCGCTCACAGTTGGGACCAAAGATCAAACCCTGCGGACTAAGACATAGGATATCTTAGGTTAGGATTCGAGTATTTCCTGAAAGGGTTCGCTCCAGAAAACTTTCCAAATAGAACTCGACACGCTCTATTCAACC